AAGGGAGAGACCAAAACAAACGGAAACAGAACAATACTCATAGAAGAAAACAAACAGAACAAAGAAAGATGATGATTAAGAAACATCTCACGTGGATGGGAATATGAAGCCAGGAAATGAGGAACATTTTATCATTTTCTTTCACCAAGAGAACATCAGTTTCTTCTCTCAGTGTAAAAGGTTGCCGTCCTGCAACACCTGTGAACATACTTATTGATTTTAGAGGGAGAGGGAGGGAGCAACAGTACGTGAGAGAAATATCAGTGAGAGAGAGAGAAAAATCAGCCAGCTGCCTCCCGTGCGCACCACGGCCAGGGATCGAACTCGCAACTTAGGCATGTGCTCCACCAGGGGACTGACTCCGCAACCCACCCCGGTGTACTGGACGATGCTCCAACCAGCTGAGCCACCCAGCCAGGGTCACTGGATCTTTAAAAAAAAAAAAAAAAAAAAAGAATCCAATCACGTCAGGCTCCTGATTAAACATTTTTAATGGCTTCCTATTGATCTTGGCATAAAAATTCAATCTCCTTGCACAGGCCAACAAGATCCTACATCAGCCTCTGTCTGCTGCTTCAGCCTCATCTCTTCCCACCCACCTGCCATTTCATTTATTCCTTCTCCTTTCCCACTTGCCAGTCATACTCAGGCGTTTCTGGTGTCAGGAGACAAGTTTGTTCTGCCTAGAGGTCCTTCCCTGTACACGGCTGCTCACGGTGTTTACTTATCTGTCTGCCTCTCCCCACTGGAACCTGAGTTCTGTGACAGCAAGTGCTTGTCCCTCTTATATACCACTATTACACCAGCAGCTAGAATACCTGACATGTAGTATTTGCCCAATAAATATGTATTGAATAAATGTGTAGTTTAAAAGGCTCAAAGTTTAATGGGTAGAGGTGACGTGTGGTAGAAGATGAAAAAATACTGAACCACTAATGCCATCAGTAGATAACTTTATTGATGTTAGGATCAGCATTTCCCTTGATCCAAGTGACTTTCAATGTGAAAAATTCTAATCTGTTTTATCAATGTCAATATCCTAGTGGTACAGCATGCTGTGCTTTTGCAAGATGCTATCATTGAGGGGACTGGATAAAGGCGACATGAGATCTATTATTTTTCACAATTCCATATGAATCTATAATTATCTTAAGGTAAAACATTTAATGAAAACATTCTAATCCAGCCCTGGCTGAGTAGCTCAGTTGATTGGAACATCATCCAGACGCCAAAAGGTTACCGGGTTCGATTCCTGGGCAGGGCACATGCCTAGGTTGTGGTTTCAATCCCTGATCGGGGCACGTATGGGAGGCAACCAATCAATGTTTCTCTCTCTCCCTCTTCCTCTCTCTCTAAAATCAATAAACACATCCTCAGGTGAGGATTTTAAAAATTCTAAAGATAATTTAGTAATTTATTCAGCCTGCTTATGTAGTTCTCACCCCAAAATGTATTCCTCCACAGAATATTCTGTGATGACAGATACTTACTGACAGAACTTAGGCTGATAAAGGAAGTCCCCATTTCTGGTAGGTGATATCTTTTTTCTGAAGCTGAGAACATTAGACTCCGTGCTTAACCACACACAGTACGGGGCCCATAGTCAGTGTTCAATAACTATTTATTTAAGGAGCCAACGATTTCTGAGTCTGCCAGGGTGACGCCCAGGCACGGGCTGTGAGAGCCTCACACTGCCTGTCACAGCCTTCCTACGCGGGAAGGCCGGTCTAGAAACAGCCTGTGAGCGGCTCACAGAGCATCGAGGATGCCCCAAGTGTGCAGTTGGCCCTTATCCACATACATCTAATTACTCAATTTTCCCACACGAATTGCATTACACGGTGAGGCAGGACAAACAAAATACTCTCAGTCCACCTATAAAACCCTGTTTTTTAAATGGATATTGCAATAGCCTTGGTTTAAAAAAAACCAAGGCCTGTTCCAAAGATTGACCAGTAAATCTGTGGTCTGGGAAGAATAGTTGCATCAGGAAGTAATTAACCACACGTGGAGAGCCTACCTGACTTGTCAATTCTGGTAAAGGATGAAGTACCATTTTCCTGGTTGTGTTTATTTTTCCTTCTATTTAGAGAACAGTTAATGGATAGAGCAACATACATTTCTATCTTACCAATCCATTCAGCCAATCTACATACTTAAGGAATGTTATTGGGACTCAATCCTCTAAAAGAATACTTAAATTTTATAATTTCACCTCATTTATCATTTTATAAGTTGCAATCACTCCAAAGGCATGATTTAAAACTGACTAAAGTTTTAATGTAAACCAAGTTCTTCCATCTGAGCGTTTTCCTTTTATCACTTATATAACCATGAGTACTTCCTCCTTTGCTCCATGAAAGAGCAACTTTATTTTTCCCACAGACTGTCTAAACTGAGCTCTAAACCAAGTCTGGGTAGCTGCTGCTCCTCAAGCTGACTAGCAAAATACAAAGCATTCAAGGTAACACAGGAGGTGATTTAAACCGATAAAGAGCAGGAAAGTCAGAAAGGCAGGTAAAACCACCCCTTGACAAGCCCCATTGTTCGCCGGCACGCGGAGGCACTCACCACGCTAGGTGACCTCATATCTCATCTGGACTAAATACCGAAGCTGAATGCATCTATTTAGGGCAGATGTAGCCTCATCCTTAAATTTCCAGATTTAAATCACTACTGTCCTTTCTCATTTATCTTCTAAAGTGGCAGCTTTTATAAGAGTAACCCAAGAAAAACAGGTTTCATATGGAGGAGGCAGCTGGGAGACTAGTATATCCTCCTCAATTGTGTAGAAGAGAATTGCTGAAGTTTAAATTTAGCAGACATATCAGCCCTGAATATTAACACTGTCTTATGAATGAGAGAAACTAGATTTACATATAAAGCCGAAAAATAATAGGACCAAAAAAAAAAAAAAAAAAAGCCAAGCTTCTAGCTCTGCAAACTATCATCCCTCAGCTGCAACATCAAAACACTCTGCAGAAGTGTTTTGTTTTTGTTTTTTTTAAGTCAGTCAGTCTAGACCTTAACCTATAAGGGTGAACTATTTTTCCTGGTCCTGATTTTGACATTGACTCAGATGCTTAATGTCCATCAGAGTTTCCCTTTTATTTTCTTCTTTTCGAAATCTTTAGTTTGCAGAGCATGTTCCACACTCGGCCACAGAACCGGGCCATGAAAAGAATAAAAACAAAAAATTGTTTCAGAAAAACAAAAATTAAGTCAGCTTAGGGTAACTGAGGAACAATGAGGAATCCCATAAGTTTGTTTCATACGGCCCATTTAGAAACAGCTATATTTAAGGGAGACTTACTTTCGAATGTTTAATTGTATGTTGCCACCATTACTCATGGTCTTTTCAATCCTAGATATTTTTTACTCCTAAGAATGACTGTTGAAACAAGACCCCTGAAGCACCATCTGTCAAACTTGCAACCTCCTTTACTAAAGAATAAAGACACTTTCAAGCTATACAAGATAGTAAAGTTATTTAGAAAATAGGCTACCTAAAATTTCTCCTTTGCTCCAGTCCCATTTTTCTGAAAATGTTTTCAAGAGGAAGAAATGAGCAGAAAAAAGAGCAATTTTTGTCAGTATGTGCAGATTTATAATGTGTATGTATGATAGTCCCAGGAAGCAATCCCAAAATTAAATGAACACTTCCATTCATAACAACATCGAAAAGAATAAAATTCTTAGAAATTTAACAAAAAGTTTAAAACTCTTACTTAAAAGCTACAAAACATTTTTGAAAGAAATAGAAGATCTAAGTAAAGGGGAAAACATCCCACGGTCACGGGTAGGAAGACTTAGCATTGTTAAGACGGCAATACTCCCTAATCTGCTCCGCAGATCCAACATCGTCCCTATCAAAATCCAAGATGATTCTTTAGTTAGACATTAAGCACTAAGAAAACATCATTCACAAGAGTAGAAAATACTTCTTCCACATAGGAGTTACTTTTAGTTTGTAGGCTAGGGTTTTAGAAACTCTGAAACAGAAATCTCTGCATCAGCCCTCAGTGCCTCTAGGGTGCTCTTAACGTAAATTGAAAACTCACATATAAGCCCTCATATTTAAACAAGGCTCCCTCTGTAATATAAGCTTGTCACCGCCAGCTTGGCTCAGTGGGAACAGTCCAAAGTCCACCTGAAAAAAATACGTGGGCGTGGAGTGATGGGAGCTAAGGGAAATTGGAAAAAATAAACAAAAATTCTCCTTGACTTCCTTCCATAGGGTCAGAGACCTAAATACATAAAGGAGAAAATACATTTTAAAAATCTTAAACACTGCATTTTCTTGGCAAAATTCTGCAAGGCAATTTCCTTTAAATAAACAGAACAAATGCTATATTGTTTGATATGAATCGGCCACTTTACACAGGCCGTCTAACGAGCAGGGTTAGTATAGTGTGTACCAGTCAGATGCATGCAACAGAAGCGGGTTTTGTTGTGTGCTCTCTAGACCTAGTGAAACCTCACTTCATCAGGGTTTACGTAAAGAAGTTGGCCTCTTTTTTTACTCTGAAAAAAGAGATCAAAAGTTGAGCCAAGACTAGCTTTCAGACATACTTCGTCTGCCTCCCAAATTCCCATATAAAAGCAATCTTTATTTAATAAACACACACACACAGGAAATTCATGCCACGGACAGGAATTTATTATTCCATTAAGACTACAACACTCTGAACTGTCTATTTAGAGCGCAATTCTATCCGAGATTAATGCTAATTAAGGTTTTTTAGCATCAAAAACAATACTGTCATGAAAAGAAATTGCTTAGGGAAAGAAATTGAAAGCTCTCCCCAATAATCGCATTTACATTCACAAATAGAAGAGGCAGAGGTTACCCCTTTCCACTGACAGATACCACAGAACGCGCCAATCTATACGGCTTCTTCCTTTTACAAGGCACACTGCGTTATATTTAGCAATTTGACATTGAAGCTCTGTCCTGAAGGCACAGGTAGGCATTGATCTTGCCGAAGAGGCTCGATGCTTTAGTTTAGAGGACCACACATTAACGACAGGTGCACTTAGTGGCTATCATATCTTCATATTCCTTATAAGCAATCGAGCCATCGGGCTCAACAGCCAACACACTCAAAGGGCTGTATGTGGCGGGCACGCACGACGGTCTTGGCACTGAGGAGTCAAGCTGCTTCTCATAGATGATGTTCTGCACCGTGGCGTGAACCGGAGAGCCGTACCGGTGCCCGACTGCCCTCGGACAGTCCCCTTTACAGTACCGAGGGTTATATCTATGCGGGGCCACAATCCAGCTGTCCCACTTCAGCTGACTAAAGCTGAGTTTAAAGTCATGGAGCTCACACTCATTTTGGGGAAAAAGAAACTGTTTGAAGTATTCACTTAGATTGAAGGAAGCTGGAGCCAGAGGCTTCTGTAATTCTGAGCGGACCGTTTGCTGACCTCTGCGGTGACGGGAAGATCTTACTCCCTTGGCAGCCTCTTCTCCCGTGGGACAGGCAGACAGCCCTCTCTGGGCAGGGGCCTGTGAGGGGCTCCTTTTATAGTGGAGGGAATACCACCTGTGATAAGCGTGAGCGCTTGTGTCGTTCAGATAGAGAAGCAGTGAGGGGGGAACCAGGCTAAAGGGGCCGTCCCGTGCTGAAGCGGGCTGCAGCTGGTCTTTCACACACGTCAAGTTCACAGACATGTGAATACTTCTCTTGTCGGAGGCCACTAGAGGATGAAGCAGGGCGGTCACGTCAACCTCAACCCATTTGTATTTCTTTCTAAATTCAAACTGTGATGTAAAGGAAAAGAAGTGTGAAGCTCTAGGGAGAGTCTTGCTAGAAGACTCTGGCTCTTTCATCACCAGGTGGCACATGCATTTAGCAGCAGAGGGGAAAGAAACTGAGTTGTTGAAAGTGTATAGCAAGACTGACTTGAGTAAGTGTTCAACAGCAGTAACACGATCCAGGCTAAACAGCAGGTCCACTGATGGCGTGGCTCCTGGGAAGAAAAAAAAAAATCCACCAGTAGTGCTTGAATACAAATCAAACAGAAAAGGAAGTTAAATCGAGGAATTAGTATTTGGAAATGTGCTTTCTCCCTCCTCTTTTCCCATTTCAAATCTCAAAGAAAAGGGGGTATGGTAGTTTTACAGAAAATGCAGGTAATTGGGACCATAAGTAATTCCCAGCAACTACAATGGACATTTTCTCACCAGAAAGTCAGAACAGCTTTGGTGGTGAATTAAAACAACAGAATTATTACACATTCTTAAGTTTTAGAATCTCAATTAATTTGCCCCAAACACGGAGGAAGCCAATAAGGAAAAAATATTTTTCTCTTGGGGAGTCTCTAGAGGGAAAACTGTAATAAAAACACTTACTAGGCTTGTTAAGCAGACGTTCCAAGCCTTGCAGGGGTGTCCAACCTGCGGCCCAGGGTGGCTGTGAATGCAGCCCAACACAAAGTTGTACATTTACTTAAAACATTATGAGATTTTTTTATGATTACACGTTGCAATGTATTTAACGTGTGGCCCAAGACAACTTCTTCCAGTGTGGCCCAGAGATGCCAAAAGGTCGGACACCCCTGCGTAATGGATGGCGTCAATAAAGAAAGCTTAACTGCCTACGTTAATTTGAAACACTTGAGAGTGACAGCAAACAGACGCTCTGAAACCACCCAAACAAAGTAGGACAGCAAGGAAGGAGGAAGGGGTTCAAACAGCCACCCCTGGCCTGTTGGCCTGTTGGGTTAGAACCATGAACCATGAGTGGGGAAAAAAAAATTTTTAATATATATAAAAATATATGAAAAGTGTGAAAGGAAGCACTGCCTCTTTCACACATACTCACCAACATGCTGACTCAGACTGTATGTTCTTGTAAGGACCTACTGCTTGGAATCGGGACTTCAGCTTTCCCCTCACAGAGAGTGACAAGCAGGGGAAAACAGCGTGTGTGACAAAGAACACCAATAGCTATGAGATATTTTAGGCACATTTTCAGGCCAGCACTGGTCAAATGGGAAGAACAAACAACTGGAAGACAAAATACATGGCTTCCAGCCTTGACTTTGTGGCCTTGGACAAGATACTAACCCCCTCCAGCGGCACTCTGCTTGGCCCCTAGAGCCATTACGTCTCTTCTAGCTCTGAAATTCTATCATATTAGCCCACCTTAACCCATGATGGCACTAGAAGGAACAGTAAGACCAAGTACCAGGTTTGTTTGCATTTGGATACTGAGTATGATGCAAAGTAAAATGCAATTCAAGGAGCAAGGCCCAGCTCCTTTCCCTAATTGAAGCACAGCTGGGTTTGTCATCTTCCCTCCGCCCATGAAGCCATCACTCCCACACACCTGTCATCTGGTCCACAGAGGCCTGCTCATGCTGGACAGAAGGGGTGAAGAGCCGAACAGTGTTGTAGAGGTGACTTCTGTTGGACTTAGGGATCCCCTCCTTGGTAGCATATGCCTTATAGAGCCTCTTCATGTAGCGCAAAGCTCTGGAGTCTGGCTGCAGCCTAGGGGCCCCACCTTGCCCATCACACAGAACTTTGAAGAGCGGGGAAAGGAGGCCAGTTCTGTTTCTCCCACCTGGAGGCTGCAGCAGGGACCAAGGTTCAGCCTCAGATTCCAGCTCAGCACTGGCTGCAACCTGAGCTTCTTCCCTAGAAGCCTGAGAACCAAGGCTAATAGGAAAACCCAGCCAGGAAAAGCAGCCAAACCAAAAAAGGAATTTGCTGGGTAGGGCCATGGCTTGCGAGAACCAGCAAGGAACACCACCATACCATCCTTCTTCCGGAAAGCCAGGAAGAGCCTAGGTTGATCTCTTAAATAAATTTTAGGTGTGTGGGTGGGCTACGGTCACTTCTGTAATCAGACCTCAAGGAAGCTTAGCTGAAGATAATTTTTATCAGCTGTGTTATCAAACAGCTGATAACATTGTATTTTATCCAATGTGTCCTCATTAGTACGGATTTATTTGGTTATTTTGCTTTCCTTACATTTATTTAAAACCTCTTATCGTTGCACTAATGCACCAGCTATGTAGCTGAAAGGCTAAGAGAAATGAAGAAACTATCTTAAAATAAAGCCACCCATTTTTTGAGATTAGGATTCTTTAAGTGTTCCTTAGCTGCTTGCTGAAACTTCCAAGGCACATGGAAAAGCTAACTAATTATTCATGATGACACAAAGATCTGTTGACATGCAATTTATGGTATTAGGTTTACTCTTCCTGTCCCTTCATCCTCACCACCTCTCCCACTTAATGGTGCTTAGAATAACTATTTACCGCATGTCGATTTGGAGGGCAAAAGTCACACTTAGTGTTGAAATTCCAGAGAGCAGAGAACTGTTAGGTTGCCCAGTTCTCCCAGGTGGCTTAGTAAAGGATATGCACGTGTCATAGGGCAACATGCTTAAAAAAGGACGACATCACCTTTAGCCTTGACTCATTTTTAAATATAGTATCTTGATCTCTTTGCTTCCTCTGCACATTCACCTGTACACAGTTTGGTCAAAAAGTTTAGAGATGTTTGTAGGTGCGAGCAAGTACATGAAAGTTTTACTTATTATTTTACTAATCACTCAAATGGTGGTCGAATTTCCCATAGTATTTCCATTAACTGTTAGAAGTATTTATGTTGTTACCTTGGAGCTGCGACCAGACTAGAGATCATGTTTTAGAAAAATGAGACAAAGGTGCGCCATGAATAGCAGAAACAAGGGGATATCCGGTGCCACCCCTAGAGAGACTCCGCTGGTAAAAAGGCAACCCACACCCCTGGTACAAGATAGTGAACCCGTCTGTGCAGTACTTAGGATGATAAAACTGAGAGATGTTTGCAAATGTTAAGTTCTTCGCCTGCCAAGCCTACCTGGCCCCTGGCTAGGAAGCAGGACATAAAATACATCCAAACTATTGGAAACCTTAGTTCTAGATGACAGAGGGCCAGCAATTCCATGACGAACACAACACTGCAGCCAGCAGAACAGCCAGCCAGCTGCACAGGGCAGCAGCGTCCTGAGGCAGGAAGCGCCTTCCGAAAACACGGTAACGGCCCCACGGGCACCGTCCTTCGCCAGTCCTCCTGGAAAGCGGGGGAAGATGGAGGGCATCTTACCCGCCCCCGCTCCCGCCGATCCATCTCGCGGACGGGGAAGTGGGGCGAGCCGGATGCCGTGGGGGTAGCCTCGTCCTTCTCTCATACCGCTACTTAACAGCCCTTTACCAATCGCTTGACAATTATTCGGGGACTCTTGTGGCTGCATCTGCGGAAGGGTTTTTATTCTACCCTGGGCAAGTCTACACCCTGTCAGTGGAAGTTTCAGGCGGTGGCGCCCGAGAGAAGACTCAGATCTGAGTCCCTGACTTCGATACTAGGGTCGAGCCGGGTTTCAGCCACCGCACCGGACAGTGTAAAACCTCGCGTTCGCTGCCGGGCGGCGGCACCCACTCGAGCCTCAGGGGCGCTCTCCACAGGTGGAGGGCTCGCAGGTGCTGAGCGCCAGGCCAGGGCCGAAAGGTCGGTGGGCCCCTTTCTCGTCATCTCTTTGTCCCTCTTGGCACACGGCCCCTTCCGCGACCCCACGAAAAGGCGGAGGGCTGGGGGAAAGGATGAGACTCCGAGGAGGGGCGCCCCGGGACCCCAAAACCCGCTCGACGGTCGTCCCGCGTTAGGCCCCATTCCCCCGGTCCAGGTACCGCCCACCCACAGAATCAATCACTCGGCCGAGGCACTTTTCTCCAGAACGGGGACACCGGCGCCATCCCCAAGAACAGTGGGAAAATGGTATGCCCCGGAAGTGACTTCACAGCCTTCTAGACTGGCTTCCGGTTCTACCGGAAGTGGCGGACGGAGGCCGGTGCATCCCGCGACTGTAGAGAGCGAGGTGACCCTGGTGCGGGACTGGGGTTTGTGTCCCCCGGTCCTTGTGGCCCCTGGGAGGGTGGACGCCACCCGGGCTGGGGAGGACTACGAGCGCCGGGGCGGGCCTGTCGGGGTGCGGGCGGTGCATCCCAGGGCTGAGCCCAGCTCCTGTTTGCCCTCGGTCCTGCAGGCGCCGCCGCCACCATGGGCCGTGAGTTTGGGAATCTGTCAAGGGTGCGGCATGTGATCAGCTACGGCTTGTCGCCCTTCGAGCAGCAGGCCTTCCCGCACTTCCTCAGCAAGGGCATCCCCAACGTGCTGCGCCGCACTCAGGCGTCCATCCTTCGCGCCGTGCCGCGTGAGTGCCTTGGCGGGGCGGGGGCCGGCCGCCCGTTCACCGGGGTCACTGTGGGCCCGTCGCGGAGCGCTCGCCGTTGGGCAGGCGCTCAGCGACTCGCCGTACACAACGTTTCCTCGCTGAAAATTCCTCAAGGTCTTTGAACTAGTCCTGTCATCTTCTCCATCTTACATGAAGATGAGGAAAGTGAGTCACGGAGAACATAAATGAGTGGCCCAAGGTCACTTGTGTGACTCCGTCTCCCTGAGTTCATCTTTACCCATTTCTTTCTTAGCGACGAACTATTATGTGTTAATGTGCAGGAGACAGTGGTGGTAGTTGCGCAACATTGTGAATTTGGTTGAATGGTCAAGTTAATGTTAATTTTACCTCCATTATCTAACGAAAAATTTTGTTGTTTTTTTACATTAAATAGTTTTAAATGTGCTATAGGGGAGAGATGGGGAAGGTTTAGTGACAATGTTCCAGGTGCCCTTTTCATTTGGTCGCCTGTCAAATAGGGGTGTAGGTAACCTTTCTTGATCATCTGGTTTAAAAACTTTTTTTTTTTCTTTTTTAAGACAAAGTAGAGGGCAGAATCTGTTATGATTCAGAAAAGAGGACAGGGACCCTTTGGTCTTATATGTACTCACTGCTTTTTTCTCACTTTTGATTTTTAAAGCATTTATAGCATTTTATCTTCTCTACACATGGGGGACCCAGGAGTTTGAGAGATCCAAGAGGAAGAATCCAGCGGCCTATGAGAATGACAAATGAGCATCTCACCTGGAGGATGGTTCCCTGTCTCTGAAAGACCCTTCTCTGGGAGAGGAGTCTACACTGTAGTGTCTTGAAGACACAATAAACTTCTTATAGGCTGCAATGTTGTGATTTTGCATTTTTGTGAGCAGAGTCCTTGGTGTGACTTGCTATAATTCAAGTTTACAAACTTCCTTCCCCAGATGAGCCCTGAGCAATTTTGGCTGGTCTGAGAGTTTGGTGAAGGAGCGGGGCTCACCGCTTGTTCTGCAGCAGCATCTGCAGGAAGCTCGCTGCAGCTGCTCCTGGAAGCCGGCCCGGCGTGGGCGGCGTGGGCTGGGGCGAGTGTTGGTTCTTCCCCTCTGCTCCTATAATTAGAATAAAGTCTAACTGTATTGTAATTACTGTGTGTCAGGGACTCTTCTTAGCCCTTTACACAAATAAGCTCTTTTAAACCTCAGAACTACCTTAGAACACTCATTAGTACACTCATCTTGCGGATGAGGACACAGGCAGAGAGAAGGTAAGTAATTTGCACAAAATTACAAAGGTAGGAAATGGTGGAGCCTGGCACTAAGGTTTGTGCCCGTAAAGTTATGCCGTACTGCCTTCCTGCTAAGGCAGCCCTTCCTTAGCCTGAGAGGGAGGCGGCTATAAAAGGAGCTGTGAGGTGACCCCTTGACCTCAAGACCTGGGGCAGCACCCCGGCTGTTTGTACCAGGTTGCTAACAGTGGTTTTTAACCACATATGCCCCATAAACCCTAACATTTTTACTCTCTGACCCTTTACAGAAAAAATGTACCCATGTTCTAGAGCCTTTGAATTACCTTTTTAGTAGAAAAGTTGTTTTTTAAAAAATATTTATCACAGAGGCTCAAGCAGAGACTTAATTGAAAAACACAGGAACATGACACCACAGCTAAAGACAGTCCTATACAGAAATCAAGGCAAGGACAGGCCATCTGAGGAAAAGGTAAAAAGACATCCCTCGAGAGAGGCTGGCCAGCCGGGTCAGGGCTCTTGGCTGGAGGCCCACTTTGCATAGGTTTCTTGCAGGTACTTCTTAAAAGCTTTGAGGTTCTTGCAGAGCTTCACAGCCTGTGTGTTCAACAGGCTACAGATGGTGGGTTCTAGCAGGCTCTGGGTGGAGAGCAGGACAGTCCTGATGTCACCCGGGCAGGCCGCTTGTCCTTTGGGATGTCCAGGCCCCTGCTACCTTGGGTGTCCGCATTGGGGTGGTAGCAGGAGGTGAGGAGCTTTGCCGTGGGTGCGCTGTACCGGTAGCCACAGGGGAGCTTAGGCCTCAGGTCTCCATGGACCGCACCGGCTGCTCCAGGAATGGTCCCACCCATTTGAAAAATGTGATTCAGTGAAAGCAGACAGTCCTTTGTTGCCAGGCATCATGGGGATCATCAGCTGCTGTAACTTCCACACCACTCTCTTGCTCCCGGGCCCCAGGGGTGGCAGCAACGCTGGTGGCGGCTGGGTCACGGTTCTGGGAAGCCATTAGCAGCACTGGCAGAGACACAGGAACCTGGAGAACACAACTAACTCAAAGTTACCTTTTTACTTTTAACAGGAGTTAGTGGGGTAAGTGTTGGCTGTTTATACTTCTGCTTCCCTGCTCCATTTCTAGAAATTTCCCCGCCTCTAAGGACACTTGCTGGTCCAGAGCAGTAACTTTCACTGTAGCTCAGCCTCTGTTCCAGGCTGTATGTTTCCTTCTTACTGTAATGATTGTTCTTGTGTTTTAGGAACCAGATTAAAATACTTCCAAACAAACAACAACAAAAAACCCTGTGAGGCAGGGTAGAGAGGAATGGCTGACAGACCTGGGCCCGTGTCCTTTCACTGTGGCTTCCTCCCAGTGACAGGCAGGAAACCTGCATTCCTGAGCGTCCAACTTGTTGCCCATATGTTAATACAAAGTTGCTTTGAAATGAGTAACACGAGATGAGTCTGGCAAGGTAGTGCAGACTTAAAAGGACAGCTATGTGATGAAAATTCACCAAACATGGTTTAATTTTCCCGTTTGACTTCGTCCAAATTTATTCTCAGTGCTTGCCTCATCTTCAGCACCTTTGGGTCATGGACTTGGAAAGGGAGGAGCGCTGTGGACCCGCGGCGGTGAAACGCACCCACCCATGGCCTCGCAGTTTCAGGCGCCAGGGGAGGACCTTTGCCATTCATGCATCTCTCTCTTTCTTTCTCCCTCTGATTTTAGCCCTGAGCTAAAACCTAGGGGAGATGGCCACCCCCTCTCACCTTCTGGGCTTCATTTTACCCTCTAACTTTGACTCCTTTGGAAATACCAGCTGAAAATCACTCAGCCCTTCTCAGCACTGAGCCTGTCGGTCTGAGCCCTTCTTATCCCCAACGACCCTACTAGGAAGCCCCTGCTGTAAGCCCCATGTGTGCTGAGCTCCTGCTTTAGATAAAACTGTTCAAGGCCGCTGTTAAGCCTGCTCTCACGAAAGGGTGTCGTCTCTAAACTGGGGCGTGCAGAGCTCTGTGCAGCGGGGGGTGGAGGTGGCGGTGGTGGGAGAACGTGGAGAGTTGTCGTAGTTCATGGCTCCTGTATGGGATCTGGGATGTGGGATCATTTTAGGGACTATTTGTGGAACTCCATAAAGAAAAGGAAGACTTGGGTATAATCTAAAAAAAGAGGGGCCACCGCTGTGGGCCTCAGTGCCTGTGACCTGCCACCCGGAGCCTCCAGCCCTGGGTGCAGCTCCCGCACCTGCCACCAGAGGCACAGCCACTTGCTTTGCCCTCCTTTCACCCAGCAGCGCTGCTACGGCAACCAGGGCTTTCACCTCTGAGCCGCAGGATGTGGCAAAGGGAACTCTTCAGTGGGCCAACAACAGTCCCGGGGATACAGGTCTACCTGGTGCAGGCCCAGAAATCTGCCAGTTGCAGCCAGCAAGAAAGCGAATATACTTTGACCCTTTGTTGAAATTTTACCTGGAAAAGTTTTTCCATTTCAGGAAAGTCTTTCATTTTTCATTAGGCACCTCCTGCTCGGGGACAGCAAAAAAGTTTCCAGTTACTGCCGAGCCCTAAGGACCTCTCTGCCCGGAATGTGTCTCAGGCATCTGTTCGTGCACTCCCGCCTCTCCCCCATTTCATCCCGGCACTTGCCGCCAAAGCAGAAGACCCCTGGCAGCTGTGTTCAGAATTAACCAAGCTACAAACCAGGGGTGTCCAACTTTTCGGCATCTCTGAGCCACGCTGGAAGGGTTGTCTCGGGCCACAGATTAAATACATTGCAACACATAATCACACACACACACACACACACCTCACAATGTAAGTAAATTGACGATTTTGTGTTGGGCCGCATTCACAGCCACAGCATGTGGCCTGCAGGTCGGAGGTTGGACACCCCTGCAACTATCAAATGTGCCTCAGTGTCAATTTCCTGTAACTTAATCAGTTGAATCCCCAAATGTCAGTGCCTGCGAGGCCCCAGGAATCTCCTCATGGACAGGACAGCAGACTAAAGCCCAAAGCAGGGAAGGGCTGGCCTAGGGTCAGTTACCCTGCCTAAGCCCCACTCTTGCCTCCCGCCATGCATTCTCCTTATGGCTGAAATTCTTAGAGGCTGCTTAGGCGTTTCCTGCAGGAAGGGACACGTAGTTGTGTGTTTATTCACTCGCAAAATACCTGACTGCGGAGAACCCGTGACACTTTAATTTCTTATTTTTTCAAATTTCAGGAATAGGTCTTCACTCGAGGGATGTCGGATGGCTGTGGACAACTGTCACTTCAGCTTAATGCTGCCTGGATGCCACTCTTTGTTTAGAAGTTTGATCTGTGCTCCATACTTAAACCTAAAACAAAAGCAGGGTTAGTTTAAACCTGTGTTGAAATGCTTTCCCTAACAGTGGTTCCTTCCACCGGCCGCAACTGACGGTTCGTTTTGGAAGGAGGTGGGAGACGAAAAAGGGGTGAGCGCAAAGGTCTGCGGTGGTGTCACACCCACGACGATGAATGCTTTCTCCCTCTTTGCATGGGGGGACTCGGGCACAGACCCTCCCCATGGCTGTGGGGTTGGCTTTATTAACACAAAAGGCTAGTTTGACTTTGCTTGGAGTACAGGAAAGCAGAAATGGAGGGTTAGGAGGAAGTTCCCAGCTTTGGAACGCGCAATTTCAAATCGCATTTGGCACATCACTCCAGGTTGATTACGGGAGGCTGACGCTGAGTCCACAGACCCAGCGGGCTCTAGGACATCACGTTGTTCAGTCTTTTGCTTATCTAATCGGATTTGTTCTTACCCAATGTTCACTAGGTCACCACGGAGCCTCTTCCCCACCCCACAGAAGTTCCCAGCTAAGCCCCTACCTGGGGTCATTCAGGACCCAAGCTCAGGGTAAAGGGAAGAACAGCTAACTAACCTCAAACGCGCAGGAATGGTTAGGTGGTTCTGGCAGAGGTCTGCTTCTCCAAGTTTCTCAAGTGCAGGCAGTGACGTCTCCCTCCAGGCCTGGTTCCAAGGTCCTGCGAGGACTAGAACCAGGACAGACAGATCTGCGGCCGCACCATGCCACCCTCTTTTCCTTTGGCAGGAGGACTGGCAACATTCTGCTCCACCTTTAGCTGTCCTGCGTCTCTTCTACTTCCCCTTGATGAGCAGGCAGGCTCTCACCAAATATCCAACCTCTGAAGATGAGAAGGGCCTTGGGAACAGGTATCGATAGTCTTCACGGAGATGCCAGGCAGAGGAGGAATCGTTGCATTTGTTTTGTTGGCTAATCCTTCTAGGTCACAGGAAGATCTAAAGTCCTATAAATCTTACTCAGAATTCACACCTTTCCCCCCAAACTTATTAAAATGCCCATGTCACTTAATGACTACCCGTAACTACTTGTGATTTAGGTCCACGCTCCAAGAAGCCAGCAGGGAGTGGGCTCTGACAGCTCAGCCCAGGCCTGCCTCCCTGAGGCTGCTGGGAGGGCTTGCCCTTTAGGAGGCCCTCGTCGCCTCCTGGGAGGAAGGCCCATAACTCAAGTGTTTGCAATGTTATTTGTTACCAGCACAAGCTCTCCCACCAGCGTAGGGGCCCTTGCTCCCAACTCACTCACAAAGCACTACAAGCCATCAGCCTATGTGCGTTCAATCAATTCACCTGTGCTTCACCTAAGTCCCACATCAAGCCTGATGGCCCTTCCCCTGGGAGAGGACACGTAGACAAGATTTTGAACTTTCCACAGCTGGGCCTCCCTTCTTCTAGGGAGATGATCTGGAGCAGAGAATTAGGGTGATGGTCCATCTACACTAATGAGGGGCCGGGGCACTGCAGACCACGCTTGCAGAAGCATCGTCCCCCAATCGGGAGGTAACAGCCTTATCCAAGAGCCTGTAACAAGAGATCGGTGCTTCTTTCCTAGACAAGGCTGAAAAGGGTCAACACTATTTCTGAAGACCTTATTTTCAGAATTCTATTTTGATTAAAATGATCTCACTGAGCTATTTTGGTATCTACATGTGGCTGGGTGCCTGCCCTCAACGGCTTCACGTGGCTCTCACAGGGGAGGGGGCAGTGCTGACTTTTGCTAAAATGGGTGAAAGAGTCCAAGCCAGCAACATAATCACTCAAAGTCCAGATCAGGGATCAGTAAATACAACGTGCCTGAAAGGCAGGCCTTGAGCACATTCCTCTGGTAGACATTAACTTATTAAATCAACCCCGATTGCAAAAATAAACTTTGCCCCATCTCACCTGGCAACCATCAGAGGCAGATTTCAGTCTATAAAAGGAAGTGTGAACTGTCCCTGGCTTTCAAGCCCCAGCATCCTCTGTATCAAGATGTGGCACCTCAAACTCTACGCAGTGCTCATGGTCTGCCTGTTGCTGTGGGGCCAGGTGAGGACAGGGTGCGAGCGAGGATGTGCGGGGATGGTGGAGCTGTAAGGGGAACCCGAGCCCCGCGCAGTCCCGAGGAAGGGCTCCTTTGCTCGCAGTCTACAGCCTCCTGCGGCGGCCCCCTTCCACGGTGTGCAGCAGGGCGTCGCCCCTTCCCCACCTGAGGTCAATTTGTCTTTGCCCTACAGGTGCATGGCTCCCCAGTATCGGAACTGAGTTCAGCAAAGAAAAGGCTGCGGAGAATGACCCCATTTTGGAGAGGGGTTTCCCTCAGGCCCATTGGGGCCTCCTGCCGGGACGATTCCGAGTGCATCACCAGGCTATGCAGGTATCCCACGGACCCGGGGGCGCGGCGTGGCCGGCGCGGCCTGGGCAGAGGTCAGCACAGGCCAAGAATGAAATTGGGATGGCGGCCTTGAGACTGAGTGCTCCTTAGAGAATCCCTCAGGAGTTAAGAGCCAAGGACAGCTCAGGTGCCATGAAAGCGCAGCGCCTTCCCTCTCTGCAGCCTTCCGTAAGGCTGGGTACAGCAACCAGAGGGAGGAAGCGGCAGGCTGGCTCTGGGCCCTGCTCCCTTTGCCTTAAAAACCTTTTCTTTTCCCTTAGAAAGAGACGCTGTTCCCTAAGTGTGGCCCAGGAGTGATGTACAAACGAGGGGGACAGAGGACAGCACTCACAAACAATGCTCCGTTCTATGGAATATTGATTAACTGCATACTGGCTGGAGACACTTAAGTGAAGCAACCTTGTGTTTTTAATATTTAAAGACAGATGTATGCTTTAAATTGGTCTCTGTTTCTTTTTAGTGTTGATACTTTGATGAGCATAACTAAACTTGTCAATTTAGAGTTTATTTTTCTATGTATACTATTAAAGGTTCTCACATGTGAAATTTTGGCAGTCTGGAATTTAAGCTTTTGAGGGGAATAAGGGTTCACTTTGTATACTATAGAAGAAAACAGCATTGCTTCATAATGATGCGTTACTTCTCAATCTTGAAAATTAACAGTGAGTAGTAACGAAAATAGTGAGGGTTAATGTATTTTTTTAAAAATAAAGACCACAACGGCAGGTTACAGGTCTCAGGTTAGCAATAGCTATGTGATCAGCAAGTTCCTAAGCCGTGGCCCTGGATCGCAGCCCTTCGCTCCCTGAAAAAGAGCTCTTCAGCGAGGTGCCAAGAAGGGCAGTGCTGGCACCAGCTACCTGACGATGCGCCTGAGTTCTCTGCGTCTGAACGGAAGGCAGAACTGGTAGACAGTCTAGTTTAGTAAAACAAGAAAAGCCCAGGGCACCAAGAATATCAAACAGGATTTGTCTGAAATCTCTCTTGGAGCAGGGCGAATTCTGACCTCTGCACAAGGACCCACGGCCAGCCGACGTGCAGACTTTCTGTAATCAGAAAACGAGACCTGGCCTGGTGGGACCAGGCTTTGTTAGGAAGAGCAGCACTGGACCCTAAAACCCAAAACAGAAATTACATGAAAAGGGCAAAGCGAGAATTGACAGTGTTTATAAACTTTAATACAGAAAATCTATTTGATATTTATTAAACTTAGTTCTCCAGCTATGGTTTGGCATTATACAAAGCATCTTAATGACACAGTAGAGTTAAAAAGGTCTTTACAAATTGAAATGTGATACCCTTGTCTCCAAATATTTTAATTGCCATAAATTTATTTAAAAATACACATTAAACGCATGTTTGACACTCTAAACTTTCTATAATCTCAATACCACAAAATACATATAATATACTATACAGATGTGGAAAAATCTAGTTAGTATATAATACTTTGCTCACCATTAACAGCTTTATTATGTGAAATGCACATACTGACTTAGAAATCCTAGCTTTTGAACCCCAAAGTACCTCTGAAATTTTAACATATTGCAACAAATAAAAATCACAGTATATAATTGAAATTTTGGTTGAAAATGTCAGATGCCCAAATATTTTGGATAAGAGAAATGTAAAACAAAGATCTGGATCATGTACAAAACAAAGGCATCCAATCAGACACTAACAGTACCTTTCTGCAGAATCAACAAGGCTTCTAATTTATCAGCGGTGCTACTTCCCCTCCAAAACCCTCCCCAAATATCAAACCATTATTCACCAAATAACTTTAATTTCAAATAAAAGGATTTTCAATAAATATATAAGCATTTCCATCCTCCATATACAAAATTTCTTAAAACCATTCAAAACGGAGGCTAGATAGCAATTTTCATAACTGTGCTTACCAACCCCACATCTGGTCCGCAAAGGCGGTGCCTTTGCAGGCACTGCCGCTTGGGCCAGCTCTGTCGGTGAGCCCTGCCCCAACCCACCCTAACCCAGCCCCAGTACTGTTGAATGCTCATGTCAATGACCTGCCAGGTGTGTGCATAAAGTTGTAAAACAGGGACACTTCTTGAACAGCAACAACAAACTCAACGGTATGGATAATCATGGCGTTGACTCGAAAGGCAGCATATCCAAAGAGATACGTATTTTTCAGAGAAGAACATAGCAGGTAGAAAATTCCAACGGTGAAAAGCTGAAAAGAAACTCCTCGTGGAAGCAGGAAGAGGTCAAAACTGAGTATTACTAAAATTTCTGAGTGGGAGTTGGTTTTTGTTTGTTTGTTCCAATGCTTATTTAGGGAGCTTTTCTACTTCTTTTTAAGAATGGCAATTTATGCTTAGCTGAGCAATGGTGGCAAGAGAGGTCATTACTGACATTCCAAAAGCCATCTTCGTTACATGATGACTGGTTGGGCTACTGCATGATGCTTAAAGCGCTACAAGACTTGGCTTAGGCTTAACTCTGATGCCTTATTCTGTGTCCAAATTCTATCAAAAAGAAGAGACTTAGATATCCTTTCCATTTCCTTTTCTGAAGGCAGTAAGTTCTTTTTAATTAACTGTAAGATTCAATTGAATAGAATCAGCAACTGCTTTATGAACTATTAAAACTTGCTTCCTGTCACTTGTTCTAGGGTCTAGGGGGTCTAAACCGCATTTCTCCTTCACTGAGTATGAGAAAGATAGGCCACAAACATGACCAATTTGGCCTGTTGTCACTACATGTTCCAAGCCATTCCATACTTAGCTCTTCAATTTATCTTACAGAATAGCAACCTTAAATGTGCAATATTCTTTATTATTGGGAAAAAAGTCTGCCTCTCCAACACACTGGTATGTGACATTGAAATGAAATCTATGTTCCACATACTTAGGGAACATGAGTTACAGGCATATATATATAGATTTGAAATGCTTTCTAAATTTCCTTAGTTTTTGTTTTTAAAAACATCACCACAATCTGCCTAAAATCAGTCATTCCCAGTAGATGTTCCCGAGACCCAGAAGCAAACTCTTTTAATTCAAAATACATGAGGCCATTTTGTCCAATTAACGACTGGAAAATTAAAATCTTTCCCACCCTGTAAGAGCCCTATTATTCTACAAAAGGGCTCAAATATATTTTAAAAGTTAATTTACTACAAATCATAGTAATTAAGCTTTAAAGATCTAAAAGGAATACACATTGCACCCTTGAACATTAATATTCAAGGTGTCAACAAGAAAGTGTCTTAGATCAATTTAATAAATAATGTGGAAATCGTTGTACTAAGCTAAAATACTAAACACACACATTTTTGACAAACTAATTTCATGTTTCATACATACATACATACATATATATAAAGCATGTGTACATCGTTTTAAAGTCCAAACTTTTTGCATACCCTCACACCTAGAAGAGCGCACAGCGTCCCTCTCCTCTGCACAGCTCGGCGTCACGGACTGGGGAGCCCCACAGCTGCTCTGAACCTCCACGGAGAGCTGCCGGCCTCCAGGGCCGGAGCGCTCCTCTACAACAGGTGCCTTTTGTAGGCGCTTGCTTCACAATGCAAGCTCAGTCAATAAAGGTAATTTCCCAAAGTGTCTGTCATTAAACACAAAATGATGCTATCTGAGCTAGCTGATTAAACCTTTCTTTAAAGGAAACAAACAACAATTAAAAACAACAGTGAGTCTAATAAAGCCACAAGTGTGTCATTCAAAGTGCGGCCACGATGCCCAAGGACGCGCCAGCGGGAGAGCCCTCAGCGCACAGGCGTGTGCGGGCGCGCGCACGTTACTCTAGACTGCTTTGACGCTGGAGAATCAGCGTAGTGATGCTCAACCTTCTCCACTGCTCAGCAACTACAACTGTACACTTATTGGAAGTATTCATTGCTTTTCAAGTCAGTTCTTGGCTACCTGCCCCCGAAAAAGGTGGCACTGAGGCAAGAAATGGGCTGAATGCTCCCAGCAAGACTGGGCCTGGGCTGGGCTGCAGCGCTTGAACGGCCTGGAGGGAAGCCCCCGCCCACAGCCCAGCCCAGGCCTGGCCAGACTACAGGGTAACAGCTTCACCCACCACAGTCTGTCCTTGGTTGCCTGTAAAGAGTCCAGTGGTGTAGGCTGCCGTCTCCTGGCATACAAGTGTGGCCTTAAAGAGCAGTCAACAGAGTAGTTGTAAATTGTTGCTATTTCTAGAATTAGCTATATATTAAGTACAAGTCTCAGACTAAGAAAGTTTTTAGCCACTTGTCAAATTCAGTTTTAAACGGCTGGAGAACACTGAAGACACTTACTGAGGAAGGAGGAATGGTCACGTGTGATGGAGCCCAAAGCATGTGCTGGAGCAGATAGAGACACAGACAGAATTTGCGAGGCGGGCTCAGGAGAGGGAGTGATATTTCCACAGACCATTACCTTAGAAATTCAATTATGTAGGATAAGACTTTGATCCATTGCCCATTACCACCTGGTGGGAAAGGCCACCACAGTGAAAAGCTTGAAGAATTCACTCTCTGAGAATTGACACAGTTTTAGAGAGAGTATCTTAAAGCAGCACCATAAAACATGTGGGAAACTCTGCTTTAACAAAATGTCAGGGTGACCCCAGAGACTCTCCTGCTGCCTCTCAGGACACACAAGAGACTAGAGCACACTGGAACTCAGGGGTGCCCAGAGGCGGCGGCTGCTGGCCATCTAAGGCTCAGGATACTTTTTCCACTTCTAGGACATCACTGCAAAGGAAGGATCAGGGTCAGAGAAGTCAGAGAAGGCCAGGACATACGTCCACTGGGTTAGCAGTGGCAAGTTTCTTACTGAAGGACTACCACAGTCACTGAAAAGTTGTCCTCTTAAGGAAAACGGTTCCTAAAACACACGAAGATTAAGTTAGAAAGATATCAGAGGCTATTTCTCCAAGGGAAAAAAGGTCAACATAATTTGTAAATATTCTTGAATCATATGCAAAAACAACTTGAGGTACAAAACAGTTAAGAAGCTCTACAAATATGAGGCCACAGGACAATGAAAGGTCTCTAGCTTCAGAAATAAGTGTAAAAGAGACTAACACACAGAGAATCCACTGCACCACTGGGCTTGGAGATTTTCTATCCCTTCTTCTCCATTTCAAGCCTTAGCAACCATCTGTAAATAGCAGGATAATCCTTTTTTCTGATTGGAGGGATTCACTTTTGGAATGGGGAGAAGGACAAACTATTTTTTGAAGCAGCATTACTCCATAGGTTAGACTAAGTCATGTACCAAAACATTAGCTTTTCTGAAAGAATTAATCTTTATGCAACCCTAAAGGAAAGTTTTAAAAGGAGAGCGAATTGAACATTGTTACTGCAGAAGACCGGCCGTATGCGTATGGGTAATCTGGTCCTAGTGTGAAACTTCGTCTGTAAACAGTCCAGAGTCTTCATTTAAAGGTAAGATTTATAAGGCACAC